ATAATCAGGTGATGATCAGGTAATAATCAGGTGATGATCAGGTAATAATCAGGTAATAATCAGGTAATAATCAGGTGCTGATCAGGTAATAATCAGGTGATGATCAGGTGATGATCAGGTGATGATCAGGTAATAATCAGGTAATAATCAGGTGCTGATCAGGTAATAATCAGGTGATGATCAGGTGATGATCAGGTAATAATCAGGTGATGATCAGGTGATGATCAGGTGATGATCACCTGATCATCACCTGATGATCACCTGATGATCACCTGATGATCAGGTGATGATCAGGAGAGTGTGTGTTTATTACCCAGCAGGCTGTGCAGCAGCAGGCTGAGGCTCATCATAGATCTGGAAGGAGGAGGCAGCTGCAGGTCCGGCAGAGTCACTGATCTGAGAGGCTTCCTGGTCCACCTGCAGAGACACACACCTGCCTGACATCACCTGAACATGTACCTGTCACAGTCACACCTGTGTGCTGACCCTGATGTCTCAGAGATGTTCTCTGTGAACACTGGCGTCCACCTCAATGGACAGATAACTTATGCTGAGCTCTCTGGTGCAAACTCTCAGTCTGATGCACCTGTGATGTCACACTGTCCTGGAGGTCACCTGTACATCACTGCAGCCAGGTGAGACCTTTAACTAGTGGAGGTCAACAAGGACAAAATTTACAGGTAATAAGTGGGTGCACGCAGCAGCAGGAGGAGGAGGAGGAGGAGGAGGAGTATCAGTATGATCAGTGCACCTGTTGACTCCTCCTGAGCAGCAGAAGTTTCTTCTTGAACTCCAGCTCCTGACTCAGCTGCTCCTTCACCTCCTTCAGCTGCTGCAGCTTTTCTGAAAGACACAAACACATGTGAACGTGTCAGTGAACATGACAGTGAGCGTGTCAGTGAACGTGTCAGTGAGCGTGTCAGTGAATGTGTCAGTGAACGTGACAGTGAACGTGTCAGTGAGCGTGTCAGTGGACTCACCATCCAGCTGCTGTTTTTGTCGTTGGTTGAATCTTTCGGCTCTCAGCTCTTCGAAGCTGAATTCTATTCCTCCTCTCATCAGCAGCTCTTTACAGTATGCGCTCACCTGAATGGCCCCGCCCTCACCCCGAAGCCCCGCCCCCCTGTCCAGGTGTGCCGACGGCTCGCTCTGATAGGCCGACCTGCAGTCAATAAGGAAACACGTGCAGGAGGTACACTAACAGCTGAGTTTAAATATGAATTAACTGTTTCTGTTTAATATGAGACACATAACATCGACCATCTCGACAGTCTTGTCCTCTGCCGTACTTTGAAAAGCTTGTAATGACACTAAATAAGAGACAATAACCTGTAAACAATCAGCTGGTTATATGAACAAACTACAAAATAAGAATGAGTCCTGTATGTCAAACACTCACTGTATGAGGACAGACGGTCCCACCTGCATCAACAGCCCCTCAGACATGACTGCACCTGGATCTGATGGACCAATCAGAACACAGCAGTCAGTTTCAACCAATCATTCATCAGCTAGAGTGACGTCATCGTCTACAGTCATCAATAACTACTGATCTAAAAACATTAATAACAGAACTAATGGACAGTTAAATAGTTAATAAAATTAAACAGTTTACTCTGTGATATAAATATTATTATAACTTCAGAATGCACAAAATTAATCACAGATAATGAGTTAATAACTTTCAGGTCAGGTATAATATCAGTGTAACGTTTACTGTTAAATCTCTTAAATAACCAGTAAAACACATTAAACAATCAGTAAAATGCCTTAAATATTAATGACCAGTTAAAGGCTTTTAATAACCAGTAAAACACAATAAATAAGCTCAGGTAAAGGACTGACATTTCATAGACACAATTGTTTGCATTATTTTACATGTTTGAAACATGAAATAAACGGATCAATAATGTGCTGGCTGCAGCCTGATGTTCAGCCGCTTTAAAAAACCTTAAATCTGCCTCTGAGAAAAATCTAAGCTGTTTTACCTTCAGCCAGGTGTTTCTGTCACCTGTTTTAAACACGTCATCAGACCTGTTTGAGTGTTGTTCATCAAAACAACAGAACAACGTGTCTGTGTGAAACTACTGTAAACCAAACCTCAGTTTGAGCCAGCATCAGTTCTGAACCCGTCATTCACTCACACAGACGAAACAAACAGACACGTTTACAGTCTGACAGAAGACTGGACGATATAAAGAGTCATGCGATGCGAACCGAACTGAAGAACACTTCATATTATTTCACATTCACATCAAACGTTATTAAATCACGGGCACGTTACTGCCAGCAAACACGTTAACATCTAAATGTCAGTTACTTGACCGGAGTTCGGCGAAGCTGTCAGAGACCGTCTCTGACGCTGTCTGTGTCGTAGCGTCACTTTAAACATGTTTAAATATAAACATCTCGTCACTGTCACGCGCTTTGATAAACACAGAGTTTCCTTTTCTCACCTTAAAGATGAAAATGTCCCAAAATACAAAACTAAATTCAAATCAGCCCGCTGTCAAAGCTGGGTTTAAACTTCCTGCGGCGGCTCTGATTGGACCAGTTCTTTACAGCGATTTATACGTCATTTCCGCTCCGGGTGACTCTTGTTACAGCGCCCCCGCTGGTTGGAAGGTGAACTGCACACTGACAGTGTTTATAAGACACACAAACACAAATAATAATAACACGTGTATAACTCATCATATCAGACACACTCACAGATTCACACTTTATATTTCACATACTGCTGAAACAAACTTCTGTTTGTCCCTTTAAAATATCTGTAAACAAACAGCACGGCAGACTGAAGCACAGTCGTGTTGTTTTATTTTAATTCATTTAATAACTTATATAATAACTGTTGTTATGTATTTAAGACATGTTCTCATTCTGATTTGTCAATAAAGTTCAGGAAGAAAACTAAACATGTCAGACACAAATACTACATGTGATATGAATTATAGTACCGACATATAAATAATCAATACAACATCGTATCATGGTATTTTGTGTGGTGATATTTTATCATTACGCAGACGCCAAAAAATGATTTGATTTGTTCTATTAATTATCAATACTGCAAATACCAATCAAACTTTTGTAGCCTCTCAGAATAATAAATGACTGAAGTGAGACGAACAGACAGAAAACTTTATGTTGTCAGAACAAACTGTTGATGATGACAGAGTGTTCCTTCAGGCAGAGGCGCAGAGACACAGGGGACATACCCCGTCCACCATTTACCACATGTACCCTCTAATGAAAACTGTATAATGGCTTTTATTTTGACAAAATTAAAAACATTTCCACCTTAAAAGGCAAAAACTTATCCAGAAAGCAGGAAATTATGTGTTTGAGGCTCAAAATTTAAATCAAAATGTAAAGTTTTATATGTGTCAACCCCAATATCCAAACAAAACTTTGGGGAAAAAATTTGCAGTTGAAAAAAAAGATAGATTGCAATATATTTTAGTAGACGTTATCCTAACGTATCAGAAAACATTTAAAATCACAATAATTTTGTCTAGTGACTTAAGTGTCATGACAATATCATATCAGACGACCTCTGGAGATTTTATATATGTGTGTAAATATATTATCAAAACAAAATATAAAGTATATTTCACTTTAATCAAAAGTAATAAATCTGACAGATTACTGTGATCATGTTATTATTAATCAATGTAATTAATGTAGTGAAGATGATGAAGTGAGAATCAGATCAGTGATGAAGATCCACCATGGCCGCTGTACAAACATTAACCTCACAGGTATGGAACCATTAAACCAGTAGAGTCCAGTGTTCCAGGATTGAAGTCCCAGTGTGACCCAAGTGTGGCCCCTGAGCCACATGTTGAGGACGTCACTTCTTCATCCTGCGGAGGCCTCTGATCCGGATCAGCAGGTCGTTAATGAAGTCCTGCAGAGAAACACACACAGCAATGATTCACAATGCAGACCTTACTGGTCTGAGTGGTTTCTGACAGTCAGTGACTGGTCCTGTTTCTGATGGTCAGTGACTGGTCCTATTTCTGATGGTCAGTTACTGGTCCTGTTTCTGATGGTCAGTGACTGGTCCTGTGTCTGATGGTCAGTGACTGGTCGGTCAGTGACTGGTCCTGTTTCTGACGGTCAGTGACTGGTCCTGTTTCTGACAGTCAGTTACTGGTCCTGTTTCTGATGGTCAGTGACTGGTCCTGTTTCTGACGGTCAGTGACTGGTCCTATTTCTGATGGTCAGTGACTGGTCCTGTTTCTGACGGTCAATGACTGGTCCTGTTTCTGATGGTCAGTTACTGGTCCTGTTTCTGACGGTCAGTTACTGGTCCTGTTTCTGACGGTCAATGACTGGTCCTGTTTCTGATGGTCAGTTACTGGTCCTGTTTCTGACGGTCAGTTACTGGTCCTGTTTCTGACAGTCAGTGACTGGTCCTGTTTCTGATGGTCAGTTACTGGTCCTGTTTCTGATGATGGTCAGTGACTGGTCCTGTTTCTGATGGTTAGTGACTGGTCCTGTTGCTGATGATGGTCAATGACTGGTCCTGTTTCTGACGGTCAGTGACTGGTCCTGTTGCTGATGATGGTCAGTGACTGGTCCTGTTTCTGATGGTCAGTGACTGGTCCTGTTTCTGATGGTCAGTGACTGGTCCTGTTTCTGATGGTCAGTTACTGGTCCTGTTTCTGACGGTCAGTTACTGGTCCTGTTTCTGAC